CAACAACACGGAAAAAATCTTTGTCTGGCTAAACACGTCTCCACCGTATCCTGTAGCGACCAAATGTGAGCTCCCGTGAAGAATTCCCCAAGTACGACATGCCCTGTTCACAGAACCTCATAGGTCTATACGTCGATAGAGACAAGCAAAATGCCCCTCCAAAGGATCTGCGCCCGAAAATTAGGTATGAAAGCCGAAATTGAGTGAATCAGTTATTGAGGTATCATCTACTGTCAACAATGGTCCCCTCAAGAACTCTCCTGGCTGCGAGTTGACGAAGTCAAACAACAAGAATGGGACCTTTTCGAAATTTCTGGGTTTTACCCATTCAAACAATGCTGCGCGGATCGGAACAAATAACAGGTAGATGGGGCAATGTCAGGGCTGAATTGCGGGGAGGGAGATATTCTTGGCCTCATTTTGTCATCTACTGCTGGACGATCTCGCTGTCGTGCGATGTCGTGGTGGCTGTGCTCTTCGAGACTGCCGACGCCGCCCAGGGATTCCACTTTGTCCCTTCTATTCTGTGAAATGAATTGTATGAATGCAGACGCCAAGGTGCGATTTTGATCCCATATGCCTGAAGACAGGAGCGAGGTGACATTTAAAGGATAAGGATAAAGTCTTCGCCGTTGATCAATCCCTTTGTGGGATGCGGCACGCATTCTACTTCCATTCAGAATCGTAGTGGCTTACTGAATGCGATGTGGCCTATACAATGACTTGCTGGCCAGCCGATGTACAAGTCAGTGTTTTATCCTCCCAGACGAATCTGGTACCAATTTACCGTCCCCGGAGGGTAGAAGGCTTGGTTGGCCTGGGCGGGAGTCGACCCGGGATTCGAACCCGGGACCGCGCGAGTGGTAAGCGCGCCACTTGTCACTACACCACCTCCGCCTCATTTGAAAGATATACATTTGAAAAGTAGAAAAAAAAACTGTTTCGAAGTGGGTTCGTGGCAGCTTTCCTTAGGGGGGGGGGGTGGGGCATTTTACACTTTTGCTACTCACCATCGCGTTCCTTGCTTTACAAGCGTTAAAGGTATTTCTCATCACAGTTAACAAGAAAACTCTTTAAATTTACTGGTATCTCTTCATTGCATCACAAGATATCACAGATCTCTTACTGATACCTGTACGACCACGGGAAGTAGCGCAAGTGCAAATTGTCCCCCCCCACCCGCCAAGGCCGAACTCTGCCGTGGGCTCTTTTGTGTAGCTTTTTGAAATAGTCTTTTTGCTGTCACTTTTGTCAGCATGACGTTTAACAGCTCCCAGACGCAACATCGCCATCACGACCTTCAAATGCTGGAAATTTTTGGTGGAATGATAGGAAGAAATGCTTCCGATGAAGCTTGTCATCGCCATATTTCTACCAGCATTTGCTTTCAGCATCCTGAATGGCATCCAATCCAACCGCTACGGTATGTGTGATTTTATTGCTAAATTCCAGTGCTATAGTGCTGTAGTGGTCGCAAAAGTCTAAGAGGACCTTATGACTGAAAACCAGCAACCTGTTTCCTATCGGGACGCCCGATTAGATAATTCAGCGCTGATTTGAACACTCACTTTCTTTCCGGTTTCGAGGCTGTGACCATATTGGCCAAGCACTGCACGTGGCTCTATGCGATTACCCAACATTTAGTTCTGCCGCACTCATTTCCAGGTGCCACAGTTCAACAAAAAACGATTGCCTGTATCCCTAATATGGGAAGGCGTGGCTGCGTACCTCATTCGAGCGTGGCGGCGGCTGCGCCTTTTCAGAATATAGACGCCTTCACACTAATGCAATCATGTTTCTGTCCCACATGAGACAGGGCGACAAATGTCTCGAATTGGAATATCCCATAGGGTAGGCGCTTACACCATGTTTAAGTGAAGTACGCAGCCACGCCCACCCTGCTCCAGGATATGTAGTGTATCGGCCCCATAGTGTTACAGACCTCAAGCCCTTTTTGCTTTGTTAGTCCATGTTTCAGACACGCGTTCACTGGTTTCGGTTATCTCGCGTTTTCCTAATCTACCGGATGGACAGGCGATGATCTGTGGTGGTGTCATAATCACCCAAAATACCGTACTCACAGCAGCTCATTGTGTGAATGACGGCAATACGTTGTGAGTTCTGTGTCCTACACTTGTTTATAACCAACTCAATACTTACATTTCTGCGGAAGAACAAATACATGGCGCATTCGGAATCCTAGAAGTTTAGTGTCAGGAATTGCATACCGTCATTTTTATTGTGCTCCCGGAATATTGTTAATTAACTCGTTGCCCTCACCACATTTGTCTATGGACCGACCCTATTCATACTTTCACCTGCCTACTTTGCAATATTCTTCTCTGCCCCTGAATGGGTTCAAGGGATTTTCCTCCTTTGCTGGCTCCTCTTGCCACTACCAGGTTTTAGCATAACAGGTCAACTCGCTGTAATGGCTGCTAAGTGGCGCGGCTGAAACGGCACTTTCATCACAGAACTCACTCACGTCATGTCAAAGGGAGCCTATGCAAGTGTTAGTGACACATGAGGCACGCACTCAGATGCCCTCACCAAGCACATTGTTGAGTGCACTTTTCTGAAACTTCTTCCTTATGAAGAGACTCCCGCTCGCAATCTTAGAACGTTGCTATGCATTTTCGCGACTTTACAGGGGCGGGGGCGTCTTCTGGAGAAAGAATGTCAACCTGTGAAGTTGCGTTCAAAACCCATCCTTGCCAAGGAAAAAGAAAAATAGGAAAAAAAAAAAAAAAAAAAAAAAAACACAAAAAAAGTAGCAGTCTTAGATTGGATCTCTATCTATAAACAAGTATTGGAAGCGTTGCACTCATTCTATGTGAACCGACCTTCAGCCCTTTTCCATGTTACTGTCCACCTTCCTATTATCGTGCTTATCTGCAAGTCCTCTCTCTCTCTCTCCTCTCTCCTCTCTCTCTTCTCTCTCACTCTCCTCTCTCTCTCTCTCTCTCTCTCTTCTCCACAGCAGTTTTATCCGGTTCTTGTACATCGCCTTTCGTTGAGGGCGGGCTTTGAAAGAAGAGTCTGGGGGTCGGGTCACCAGACGAGAGGGGAAGGTATTACTGGAGCAATTACACCCCTTAGGCCCTTGCCTTACAACTTCGATGCAAAAACATGATATAGGGTCATCTACTGCGGACCTCGCAACCTTACCCATGCAGTCTTTTACGACATCATGGGTCACTGCGGACCGTTCCTTCAAGAGAATGGACCGTGGCAATTAAATCGTCAACCGTAGCAAGGATTTCGGGGCACGCATGGATGTCTGCCAGTACCAGATAGGGTTCTCTAGGAGCCTGCTAGCAAGTGATCCAGCCATAGAAATCACGCAGTTGCTTAGGGTTCTTCTAGGAGCCTGCTAGCAAGTGATCCAGCCATAGAAATCACGCAGTTGCTTCATGCTGACAAAAAGTGTCCATGTTGTTGAGCTTGATGGCGATGACATTATCTTCTTAGAATCAGCGTACAGCATCGATGTGTGGAACACATGGGGGGGGTCACCTTGGCCGCTGGGGAGTTGGTCCCGTTTTGATCGTTGTTGAGAGAGGGGTGAAGGTCGTATGTGGTTTTGAGAGAATTTGGTACAGCGTTGGGAAAAATTGACATGAATTGAGTTGATTGAATTGAGTAAATTGTTGACTTTTCACAAGTTGTTGACTTTTTACGGTTTTTCTCTTTTCACATTGGCTATATATCCCCACATATCCCCCCTCCCCGGAAAAAGTTCCGGAAGAAGTGGTAGGAAGCAACATCCAAATCCAATTGATGGGGAACACGGTAAGAACCAAATGGTACCGCAAGCCGAGCAATAAGAATATCCTTGTTCATTGTAATTCGGCACATCCAGCAAGGACTAAGCAAGCGGTCATTGGCAATATGTTCAAAACTGCCTGTAAGGTCTCCTCTGATGTTGCATTGGAACAGGAATCGCTCGATATAGCACATTTGCGGTATCTAACGGTTATCCGGGGTTACGACCATTACGAAAGGGTTTTTCCAGACAACGCGGGGTCACAAACGTGATATCTTCCGGAAAAGTGCCATTTTGTTGGCCGTTTATCTCGGAAGAAGTTAGCAGGGCGATCCGTACGAGTCTAATGAAATGTGGTCTGCAAGAAGACGTTAGGCTGGTAGAAATACCCCCAATCAACTTGAAACGTCTCCTCGTACGTAATCGTCTTTATGACTACTCATGTGATACCCCGGAATGTGTGGTCTGCCCCTCCGGTAGAGCAGGTGATTGCATGAAGTCGGGGGTGATCTATTTAATACGCTGCCTCGCATGTGATAGTGAATATGTAGGGGAAACGGGCCGTCCTTTGCGCGTACGGGTTAAAGAGCACTTGGATGGCTTACGAAGATCACAAGTCCGGACGCCACTTGGTTGCCATCGGGTTGAGGATCATGGAGATGTCGATTTCCAGGTAACTGGTGTTCTATCCATGGCCACAGGAGCGTGAAATCGTTGCACGAGACGTGAAACGTTTGACGTTGGAAGCCCTTTGGGATTTAAGCGAAAGACGCCGCCGAATGAACAGGAAAGAGGAGTGTGTAGCCGTAACCCGTGAACTCGCGCTCTTTGCCGACCTATGCGGTTTTTGACCTACATGAGGTCGAGGCCGAGGTCGCGGAGTGGAGGTGGAAACTCACTGTTAGTAGTACTGCAGCTTGGGTGGTCGATCTCACGTCATCGCGGCTGAGATCAAGGTAAGCCAACTCACACTTATCGATCTATACCGTAGGGTGGTCTGCTAGGATATCGAAATAGTCTTAAGTTCTTGTGGAGGCGTTCGAGGGACAATCTCAATTGTTTTTGGACTCTTTCAGGCCCTGACGAAGGCGAGGAAGCCGAAACGTTGGCCAATAAATTATAAAAATCTTGGACGGCTCAAACTATCCACCTGTTCGAAGATACAACAATGCCAAGATTAAGAGAAGGTCGATCCTGTCGAGAAGTGGTAGGATTGTGGGTAACTTGTAGTGAAGTGATAAGTAGGTGCTAGGAGAAGGGGGGGGGGGAGTGTACCTAGACCCTCCTTCGAAGGGAGGGGGTTGCACTGATACCACCATTTCACAAATCACAATGCTGTCCCCTGCTTTTAATGCAAAGAAGGAATGTTCTCGCTCCTTTTATGGTCTTCCCCCCAATTCTTCGTCCACGCGTCACCCACATTGCAGCATATCGTTCAGGACCGTAATAGTCGTCTGCGCGTTTCAGCAACCATCAGGATAATGAGGGTGGGGAAGGGGGAAGAAGATTCAACGCACAAAGTAACAATGCACACTCGGCTTTTCAAAAATCCCTTGCTTTGTCTGCACTGCGGCGTTTCCTTCTCCCAATTTTCGCGACGGCTTCCATGAAACATCCCAGTACTTGAATTCTTTCACAACATGACTGATAGAAACTGTTCAAGCTCATCTCTCGTCACGGTGACGTTGAATGGTGCAAGCCCTAGCGGCCCTGATAAAATCGTCAGACAATCTACCAGAGCTATCGATTTGCATTCACGGTATTCTGAGGTAAGCTCTTTTCAGATTTCTTTATCTTTCGCCTCCTATTCAGAAGAACTCAGGCTAGACTAGACTAAGTATTCTGAACTGAAAAACAATTTTTAGACCGTGCGCGGGAACGAGGACATGGCGCTAGTGTACCTCCAAAAACACCCATCGACTGCAGGGACCTACGGACCAGAAGTCGCTCGTTTACCTCCAACGCCGGGTAACAAAGTAAGAAACCAGCTCTCTTCTACAAGAGAGTGTCTCGAGAATCTTATCAACTCATCGCTTTTAGGCCTTTTACTTTTGGAATTTGCTCCATCTGTTGCTTGAACATTTCAGGTGCCGCCTTTCTTCGTTCCCAATAAAACTCCCATCTCAGACATGGAACTGGAGAGTGCGGTGTGTGTAGCGACAGGCTGGGGATTGACGAGGCGTAAGTAATATAATATTAAATTCAAGCCAGTGCCAGCCTTTCTGTAAAGCACATTTCCCTATAAGCCGTCACACAGTTCATCAAGAACGTTTTATGGTTCGGCACGTCGGGACCATTCGTCGTAATATTCAGGAGCTCTGCTTAAGAAATCTAATTCGAAGTTTGGTGGCGGAGGTGGTCCTAATGCGAAGAAAAATCCATGCTGGTTGATATTGGGAGAAACTGGGGCGCCAAATCTCGGTGTGACAGAATCAGGAGTCAGCTGAGAGCGTACCATTCCTGCCACACTCTCCTTGTAGGGTGGAACCAAATTTTACTGAGAGCCCCTGCAGACTCGTTTGAAATGAAAATCAACGACTTCATGTATCTTTCCAATCTCCTGCATAGGGTCTGTCAACAGGAGACATTTCTGTTATCGGTAAGAAAACTTTTAACTTTTCTTTGATGGTCCTGTACATCCTAGACTTATTCCGAAGCTCTTCACCACCTGGTGAAACAATCGTTTGGGAATTCCTAGCATTCTTTCTTTAGCACCTTTAACATGCCGTTCGTTTTTAGACACCCTCTTCCTTTCCTGTCCTCTTCTATTTCACCTCCTCAGAGCCACTAGCTGTATCCCGTTTGTCGAGGTACAGAAAGGGCCTCGACGACTGGTCGCGTTTGCAAACCTCTCCTGTGGAGTGAAAGATGGCAATTTGCGTGTCAGAAGGCTGAACCATAGTGTACTCTACCGCACATTCAAGCTGACCATTCAGAGCGGGAAACTCTCCTACAAAAATGAAAAGTTCAAGGCATTTACGTGCACCAGTAATTTTGCCTCACCGTGTGCACCTTGCAACTTCAGCAGATCCCCAAAAGAAGCATTGCTGATGCTACGGGGAAGGATGAAATTCAAGTCTTGCAAATGCCACACGACATCAGTGGCATGCATGTACTAACCCTTTTCTCTTGAATAGTTTATAAAACCTTGAATTAGAAGCGCATATTCTCTTATTAGGTGCGACTTTACCAGTGCGAATCAATGGAGTTCTGTGGTAGCTTTTTATGTAATTGAAATCGGCTCTTCTTTTGTTACACTTACAAGCTCATTGTTATTTCAAAGGCCAGTATTTTTAGCTGTTTTGCAGCTGCTCCGACATAAACAAAAGAGAAAAAGTAGCGCATTAGATAGGCGAGAAATCTATGTCAAAATTTTTTCAAACTCGAGAACTCTCGCTCAATCTGAAGATGTCTGGCTTAGAATATGGGCTATAATACTCAAATTATTACTACTTCCACTATTTATGCTCCTTTGTTTAATCATGAAGAACAACTTCGTCACGGACCGTCAGCACCTGCGCTATCGCGCCCAATTTTTCCACCATCCCGGCTCGAGAACGAGCTGCCCAAGCCCAAATGAAAGAGCCAAGCCCCCAATCAGGGTACAGCATCGTTGTGAAAAACACCTAGGGGGTCGCACTTTTTCTACGGGGAGAGGGGGGTGGTAGAGGCGGGGTCGTATTTGGTCGTTGGGAGAGAGAGGGTCGTATGTGCCTTTGAGAGAAATTTGTCGCGTTGGTTTTCCGGTTGTTGACTTTTTGCGTGATTTTTCCTGTTTCATGTGCACTATATACCCTCGCCCCCGCTCCTCCCTACCCTAGCGGCCCCCCCCCCCTCAAACGGAACACGAGCAACCTCCACCCTTAGGTGGGAGATCGCTACTCGCACACCCTCTCCGGCAAGCGCGGGGGGGTACATACACCACCATAATCGCTTCTGCTATTCTCCCAAATACTGTGGAGCCTTGGAACGGTGCTAACGCATCAGGGCGAGGGCCTAACAATAAGATCATGAAGACGAAGTGGGGTCTCCTCTGTCTGCAGTCAATTTGAGAAAGCTGCAGAATGTGAGACCAGCGAATGGCGAAGCTACCAATGCGGCTGATGTCTGCGTATAGTATCATCGAGATTCGAACTCTTCATCGGTTGTAGAGGACCATACGCCGGAGCAGCCCGCTTTTGAAAGGGCAGAGACAGAACTCACTTTGCAGTAAAGGTGAAGCAAAAACTTGGCAGGAAAGGTCAAGCAAAAGCTCATGTAATTTACCTTTTTGACTCTCCCGAGTAAATTTTAACTGAGTCGAACTGCGCGAGGTCTTCTCGGCCTATAGCCGCGAAGGTAATATCGCTTCCACGACTCAGAAATCCGTTGCAGACGCAACGAATTTTTAATTTATGACTCTACAGTCTTGAGGGAGCCAACGATATACAGTGGTTCGTCTGGATAGGAGGCGAAACGGACCACGAACTTCATATATTCAATCCTTCAACTACTTATTCTCTTTTCTCAAACATTCTACAGGCGCCCACTGAAAGGCTATAATGGAGAGCAGTTCCACTTTTTTTGTGAACTTCTCACCGTACATCATCTGCGTTTAGTACAACTCGCTCTTACTTCGTGCTTGCACATTCTTCAAAACCTGGCTGCTGAGAGGGGTCTCATTCAGTACATTATCAACGTTCTTCTAGCTGATTTTCGTCTCCGCTGGACCGACTGGTTCTGAAGGTTTGTATTCGACCTCAATACCTACACTCCACGTCTCGGAGATATGGAGGCTGTGGCTCCGTAATCGGCTCGAAAATGACGTGGGATGAGTCTCCCTTGGGATATTTCCATCTGAGACAATTGTCACCCTGACTTCTGCTGGGAAAGGAAGCGACTGCAATGATTGCAAGATCCCCCACCACCATGTTCTAATGAAATGCACTGCCACGCCCCTTTCAATGCAGAGATATGGCGTGCTGAGCGGTCTAGGCAAAGAGGGGGGAGGGGTCATCTACACGTTTGCCGGATCTCTGCTAGTTCGTGGTAACTAACTGGCAAACCTGTTCGCTAACATGGAGCAGAAACTCTTCTGAACTCTTTTGAAGCTGCAAAATGGTATAAGGAGCCTGTTTCCAATAGATGAATTCACAAGTCTTCACGAAACAGCATATACGAGCTTCGCTGAGTCTTATTTGATGCCCCCACCAAGCCAGTCGTACTTAGGTCTTGTCGCGAATTGGGCCGTTCAACTAGGTGGTATCAGATCATCTCGACTGCCTGTAATATCACGGACGTCTTAGACAACTCATCCAACTCATAATGGTTAGTCATTCAAACATGAGGTCTTTCAACAGTCTGGGTTTCAGACGGCATCTATTTCGGACACCCCACAGAGCATCTACGTTGCGAGTTGAAACCGTCGAGACTCAGAGGATTCTGTTCGGTTTATCAATCAACTCGGCTTCCGAAAGCGTGCAACGGTTCGCTCCGTGTTGACTTTCTTTAACGAACCATTGATCCCTTTCTTTTTTAAACTTAATCGATGCTTTCCGATTTATTTTCCTTAGGGCGATTCCGGAAGTCCAGTCTACTGCTATGTTCGTGGGATCAAATTCTTGGTGAGTCCTCTGCGATTAGTCCAGATACGTCTTGAACACTTCCCTGCACTTTCATACAATAAGCGTTAATGCTCTTAAGCTAACTGGATGACAGTAGTTCCGGTTTCTGGTCGCTCAAGTATGCCAGGAATAGCGGTTATGCCAAGGAGTGCGTACAATACCGCGTAAATAGCCATACATGTGTGCATAAAGGATGACTTTTCTGCCAGTGGAAACAACGTAGGAAACGGGGTTGAGCCATACTGATCGCGATGCCCAGTCGAGTGGCTGTCATAGATCTTCAGCTGCAGCACATGACGCGCTGCAACTTCGGCAGTGTTCAGACTTCGCGATGACGCGCGACGGCGGGCTGTAACGCGCTACAAATGTGATAGCCCTCCAATCTTACAATCGCGAACGCAGCCGCAGATGGGAATCGATTAGTACCGCTTGTGCATAGAGGAGTATGGGGGAACTTAAGGGTACGCATTGCCTGATTACGCATTCTGGTATCGATCGGCACTGACCGCTAAGGTGACTTCGGCACTGCACATGCGGCTGCATTCGCGTCTATAGAATTAAGATTGTTACAATTGTAGCGCGTTACAGTGAGTCGTTACAGCGCTTTACAGCGCGTCGACGCGCCACATCACGAGGTCTGAACGCTGCATTCATGATACCGAAAATCGGATCTAATTGTTCCTTGGATTGTGTCAATGTTCCAGATCGGTGTGATGACTGACGTTGGCACCTACAGAGATATCCAGCGTTCAGCTAATGATGAGGTTACCCCAGTCCAATATGTAGCTCACGTAACAGTTTCCCCTTGAAGCATCTTTTTTTCAGATGAAATGCGAAGACTACGATTTCGTCGTTATTGCCGATATTCGAGCCAACATGGACGAGATTCAGAGAATTCTCAACCAGAGGGGACTTAAAAATGGCTTGGAAGACGGCCAAAAACTTTGTCACAATGTTATCTGATATCCGAATGAATAGTGCATCCCAGATTTTATTGAAAAGTACAT